GAAGTCAGCTGAGAAGAACAAAAAGACGGACGCCATGAAATGGAAGAAATGTAAAAGTAAAAAAAGAAAGACAGACATATCGATATCGAGAAATATCGAAAAACATCTTTGAAAAAAACGTTCAATTTTTCTTCTCTTTTCCTACACATATTTATATTTTGACCCTGTAACAGAGTCTTTGTGACATGCAATAATGATATATCTCCTATCCCCTCCCTCTCCCACCTTGATTTAGCTACCGGTCCTACCGTTATACCCAGTGACCAGGCAGCTGCAGAGAAAGGTAGAGTATTTGTTTCTGTATTCTCCTGGTTCAGTCTAACAAAGTTAGTTTTGTGTTTGGACCTCAGGTTTCTTTTGTTTACTTTGAGACCCCAGTAGTGTCCATTGTGTTGAAGGGTAGCCCCAGTCTTTGGGATAATAGACGGAGCAGGTAACGACGACAACCACTTGAGCTGATTTTAATAGTTTCTATTATAAGCAGCATCAGTCATACTATTTGCATTGTCATCACTCCTCTTACTCTCGTCTGCCCCCCTCCCCCCTCGCCCTTCCAGCCCACTGATATGTCCCTTATATTCCCACCCTCAGCTTGCCATCAGAAGCCAGCGGAAGTGGTGTTTGTATTGGACGTGTCCAGCAGTATCTTCATGTTGGACTTTACGAAACTACTCACCTTTGTATCAAACCTTATTAAATTGTTTGACATTGGCAGACACAAGACCAGGGTCGCTGCCGTCTCCTTCAGGTAGTCCAGAGACACTGTCACTTTTCCTTCTTACATTCAACCTCACAGAGAGACAGCTTTGTAGATTACTAGCAGAATGACATACCACACAAAGTTAGACAATCCGTTATTAAATTAAAACATGAGAGCTTTGAGCCTCTTCCCCATCCCTTCCTTTTCCTGAAATGAAAAACAAAGATAAACATTCATAAGTAATGCAGGCAAAGGAACAAATAAAGAAATAGGTAAAGGGATAAATAGTAAAATAAAGGACTGAGTGAATAAACAATGTAATAAATATGCAAATGACTAAATAACTCATGAATACTTTAAAATGATATAAATTAACGAATAACTCAACCAATCAATCAACCAGTCAATATCAATTAATCAATAAACAAATGAATGAACACCACGTTTCTACATCACCTATCGTGACACTCTCGTGCCTGGAGATATGTTCCTCTCTAGACAGCCAACCCAGACAATCAGGAGACTGACAACATTATTTTGTTTTCGTTTCCGCATTTATTTCCGTATTTCTGATACAAAATTTGCTCTTTTCCCCTGTGGAAACACACAACAGCACCAACGCTACCGTGGAGTTCCATCTTGACGAGTATTATGATCAGAAGGACGTGAGAGTTCACGTGGAGAAGATTCGCTACACTGGAGGTGTCACCAACACAGACGATGCCCTCAAACTGGTCAAGAACTCGGTGCTCACCCCAAAACATGGCGTCAGGTACTCCTCTATCTTCTTAGTTTTAGTAAGAGTGTTACGGAATTTACAACTCAGTTAGGTCATATAAGCGTCGAAGATTATAGATGTTACAAGAGAGTAGCAAACGCAAAAAAGAAGGGGGGGGGCGGGGGGAGAGGTAAGGGGGGGGGGGGGGGGGTAGATGTTCGATAATTTTTTAAAGGCGCAAATCACACCAGAGTATCTTCATGTTGGACTTCACGAAACTACTCACCTTTGTATCAAACCTTATTAAATTGTTTGACTTTGGCAGACACAAGACCAGAGTCGCTGCCGTCTCCTTCAGGTAGTCCAAAGACACTGTCACTTTTCCTTCTTACATTCCACCTCACAGAGAGACAGCTTTGTAGATTACTACAACCATCGCCAACCATCCACCTATGTCTTTATTGTCTTTTTTGTTGTTAAAAGATTTCAAAAGGCAGGCAGAAAATAGTAGAAATGAATGGACGGCACAAAGGCTCGTCTGGTTAGTGTCTGTGTTTGCTCATGTCGACGAGTGTTTCTGCATATGCCCCTGTCTGTATATGGATGTCTTCGACAGTGTGTGTACATTATACGTATACATATGCGTGTATTATCAGTGTGTGGGTGCATGGGTGTTGGCGTACATGTATATGATATACATGTGTACCAAAGCCATGCCAAGAAGCTTAACCATTTCCGTATGAAATGCCTCAGGAGAATTCATGACATCAAATAACAGCATAAAATACCGGACACCGAAGATCTCAAATGGGAAAATGTCGATAGACTGTTTTCTTATCTCAAACGGGCTCAAGTACGCTGGGCAGGCCATTTTGTAAGACTATCTGATTTCAGAATCACAAAGGCAGTGCTGTATTCTGAACTGTTCCCAGGGAAATGTAAGGTTGGCGCACCAAAAAGCGCTACAAGAACACCATGAAAATGTCTCTGAAGGACTTCAACATAATATTATTCTTCGACATGGGAGAGCCCTGCTCCTGACAAACCCAGTTGGAGAGCAGCAATCACAATGGGCTTCACGAATAATTAAATTCTGAAACCTAGAGAGAAGCCCCAAACTGCGAACATCTACAATTCTACACCATTAAATGTTCAAAATGTGGCAAATTTTTTTCAGGCAGAATTGATTCCACCGGCCACAGCAGAAGCCATTAATCATTGTAACCTTTAAATCTTCAAATTCTTATATTTCACATGAGAAATATTCTTCTCTGTTGATGTTTGGTCATCGTCGGACATTGCCGGACATGCTATTATCTTCTTCTTCTTCTTCTTCTTCTTCTTCTTCTTCTTCTTCTTCTTCTTCTTCTTCTTCTTCTTCTTCTTCTTCTTCTTCTTCTTCTTCTTCTTCAT